TGATCATAGTACGAGCAGAGTTTTCATAGTAAATTCTTATCCAGCTCGAATCTTTTTGATTCAGAAGCTTCGCATTTTTTTTATCTATCATGATGTCATGATTAGACATTAGCTTGTAGCGCAGCGTTTAGGCATTCCATTATCAGTTTGTACTCCTTTAGGGGAGGTGTCCCAATTAGAGAGTATATGTAGGAGATGTGTCATCAGTATAGATGAGTTTGAGTTCATCTTTGTCATGGTCGTGTTGTGGATGTCGAATTTCGACGTCATTCTTGGTATGGAATGGTTATCATCCTACAATATCAATATCGACTGTTTTGTTAAAACAGTACGCTTGTGAACATTCGTTGGGATTGTATAGATAGTAGCAACCTCATGGGGTAACCAGAATGCGGAGTCATTTCTGGCATACGTCGAAGAGGTGATGATACGGGATCGGGGTGCAGTTTTGAGCGAGACCGGAGTTGTCTCAGTATATCAGGATGTCTTTCAGGACATACCTATGTTTTCTCCAGTGAGAGAGGTTGTTTTCCTGCATCGAGTTGCAGCAGGCACCGTACCGATATTCCGAGCACCTTACCATATCATATGGCATCCGCTGAGATGAGGGAGCTACATACTCAGCTAGATGAGTTGTTATCACAGAGTTTTTTTTCTGGAGTCCTTTTTTTTTGAAGTACAGGTCTTCTTCGTGGGGAAGAAGGACTATAGCATGCGATTGTGTATCGATTATCGTGAGTTGAACAAGGTCATTTTCCGGATCACGGATCCACTATCGAGGATTTATGACTTGTTTGACTAGCTACGAGGAGCACAGCATTTCTCGAAGATTAATCTTCATTCTAGTTATTTTCAGTTGCGATTGAGGTAAATGAATATTTCTAAAACCGTATTTTCTGACTCGATATGGGTCTTTTGAGTTCTTGTCATGCCATTTGGGCTGACCAATGCACCTGCGGTATTCATGGATTTGATGAACCGGGTTTTTCGTCCATGTTAGGACCAGTTCGTAGCCATTTTATTAACGACATCATTATCTTTTCGAGATCAGAGACAGAGCGCGAGCAACATCCTCTTTTGGCATTGCGGGGATAGCGGACAATTGAGATTAGAGGCATCAGTGATACGCTGAGTTCCGCAAATACGAGTTTTGGCTATAAGAGATTAGATTTTTTAGGCCACGTCATCAGCAGGTGGGGCATAACAGTGGATCCAGCCATTGTTGAGGCTGTACTAGATTGAGAGCCACTAAGAACCATTACAGGGGTTCGTAGTTTTAGAATGGTATGAGAGAAAGTTCATTCAGGACTTTTTGAAGTTTGTGATACCACTTACACACCTTACAAAGAAGGGTGTATAGTTTGCTTTGGGCACGGGGTGCCAGGAAGCCTTTAAGACTATTAAGGCTAGATAGACTACAATGACAATTTTGACTGTTCTAAACAGTGATACGACATTTGTCATTTACGTGGACACACCATTAGCAGGACTACGAGGTGTTTTGATGCAGACCAGGAGGGTATGGCTTATTTTGCGACAGTTTAGGCGTATCGTAACAGATATACAATACATCCATGCACAAGGAAAATGTACAAGGATCTGAAGAGGTATTTTTTGGTGGAGTGGTATGCGCAGAGGGATTTCAGATTATGTGGCTAAGTGTTATACCTGCCAACAAATTAAGGCAGAACATCAGAGACATGCAGGAACCCTACAGCTTTTACCCATTCCTGAGTGAAAGTGGGCAGATATTTCCATGGATTTCATAATGGGGTTGCCTAAATCAAAGGAAGGAAATGATTCTATTTGGGTTATAGTGGACAGATTGACTAAGCCTACACATTTCTTACCAGTAAGGACGACTTATACGGCAGATATGTATGCAAGGATCTTCGTTTGGGAGATTGTTAGATTGCATGGAGTTTCGGAGACGATTGTATCAGATCGGGGCTCAGGCTTCACATCTCATTTTTGGAGGAGTTTCCAGTATGCTTTTGGCAGTCAGTTGTCATTTATCAGTGTTTTTCACCCCCAGACAGATGGTCAAAACCGAGAGGGTGAATCAGATCTTAGAGGACATGCTGAGAGCATGCATTATAAATTTTCAGGGTAGTTGGGAGGATCACATCCCACTGATTGAATTTACATATAATAATAGTTATCAAGCTATCATCAGGATGGCATCGTATGAAGCTTTGTACGGGAGACCTTGCAGATCGCCTATATGTTGGGCAGAGCCAGATGATAGTTTATTGATTTGTCCAGAGTTGGTTAGACAGACCACAGAGAAGGTGGCATTGATTCGAGAGCGCATTCTTACAGAGCAGAGTCGGCAAAAGAGCTATGCAAATCAGAGGAGACGACCTTTAGAGTTCCAGGTCGGAGACTCGGTTATGTTGAAAGTATCACCGATGAAGGGCGTTCAGTGATCCGGTAGACGGGGGAAGCTTGCCCTGAGATATGTTAGTCCTTTCGGGATCATCGAGCGCATTAGAGCTGTTTCTTACAGGTTAGATCTTCCAGCATTGATGTCGAGTATACACGATGTCTTCATGTTTTGATTCTTGAAAGAAGCAATGCTGGCAGGATGATGAGGCAAGCATGAGAGTGATTGATTCAACCAGAGATTGAGAATTCAGAGATGACTTGACTATCGTAGCAGATTTGTGTATGCATAGCTTGCTAGAGAGGAATAAAAAGCCTTATGAATAAGTCATTCATTATTTGAAAGTCGCAGTGGAACGCGGAAAGGAGCCGAAGACGATTTCTTTTTTGGGAGCGCGAGGAGGATGTTACGTCGCGCGACTGACCACACCCTGTTTGACATGTATGATGTTGATAAATTCTTATGCTTATATGCTTTGATAGTAGTCTTTATCTATGTTGTTTAGTCATATTTATATTTTATCTTTAACACTAGAATGGAGATATTGTCAGCTGATGCCTTAATCAATCTGAAACATATGACCGTATACTATATGGGTTTCCTTGTTTGGATTATTTCGCATCGACGTACCAATCTTCGATTTTAATAGGGATTTAGGGAGAATGTTTGCATTCTATGGGTTGTTAACTTTAAATATCATTGTGCAAATACAATATGAGGTGCAGAAGAATTCTTAATACGAATTACACATTCTTATTGTGTTTATTTCCATTTTTTGGAGCTTTGAGATGGCGATTGTGGAATTTCGGTGCGGACGAAATTTCTTTTAAGGGGGAAGAATGTAAAACCCCGTAAATTTAAAATATTTTATGCATAAAATAATGATAAATTGTTATATGGTGGAAAAATAATATATTTGGGAATTGTTTTGGGATATGATAAAGAATTGAATTTGAGGATTCAATTCAATGTATATTTTGTGGAAAATATGAGTTGGCAAATGCCACAAAGCATGCCAAGGCTAAAAGCAGTGAAAAATCTGGGAATAATGAGGGCCGGGGGGGCCAATTTATGAGTTTTTATATTTTTGCCACACCGATTTGCAAGTTAGAATTTGAAAAGTGCTAAAAGACCAAAGTTGTAGGTCTCTTCAGCAGCTTTTCCAACAAGTCTTAGATCACCTCATTCGAGTTTCGGATGAGAAAGTTAATAACGCAAAATGCCGAAGGGATATTTTCCTAGTCAGACTATGTTTCCTGGTTTCGGTTTCATAACTGGTTTGTTCGGGTTTAGCCTCTATAAAATACCTGTATTTTTTATGAAAATTCCTTTTTTTATCAATATCTAAGAACCCTAACAGGCCACCACCGACAACCCATTAAAGCACCTAAATTTTGAATTCTTGCGAGCAAAGATTTGAGGCCTTTCAAGTTTGTGTTTTGTTGGATTTGGCTTTTGGAGTGGAGATCCGCTCCATTCGACTGTTGCCTTCTTAACAAGTATTTCCTTTAACCCCAGGCGAGCTATCATCTCTACTAATCCCCCCCAGTTTTTAAAAATATTTTTGAGGAGTGTTTAATGACAGTTT